AGTGTGACCATATTATTATCTGTGATAAACTATATTATATAGGTATATTATGTAATATTTTAATTCTTTCAATCAGGAGTTACCAAAATATAGAAACTGAAGTTTGTGTTGATGGATAAAGGAAATATATATTATTGTACTGGTGGTAAACGGACTTGGCGGTAAATGGGAAGGTCGAATTTGGCTGAAAACGGTGACGCCCCACGGGACTTCATGGCTATTAATTCATATCTAATGGAAATCGAACAGGAATATTATTTTTATCTCCCCCGTTCCCGACAACCATTCCGTGTGGTACTACGTCACCTCCATCACACCACTCCTACCACAGATATCATAAACTGTCTAGACGACCTCGGGCATAAAGTAATCAGCATTACAAATATAACACACAGTACGAACAAATTGCCACTTCCACTATTTAACATCATCCTAGTTCGTAACAACAATAATCATGAAATATTCAAAATCACCAAATTATTAAACTCAATAATAAAATTCGAATACACAAAGAGACAACTTGGTCCTCCCGAATGTCATCACTGCCAAAAGTATGGACACACACGCAACTACTGCCACCGCAATCCGCGATGCGTGAAATGTGGAGCTGAACACTTCACCGAAAACTGCACATAACAACTGGAGGAACCAGCAAAATGTGCTAAGTGTGGTGGAAACCACATTGCGAATTATAAAGGATGCCAAACTTTAAAAAAAATTTTAAGCCGCATCAAATCCAAAACCAAAACAACAAAAAGAGGTAATCAACACACTCAAACTCAAGCTGCACCACCTGCACTTCACAGGAGTGGGCATGATACGCTACACTCAAACCCAAAAGAAAAAACCTCATATGACGAAGCCACAGCGAATACACCACCATCCGATCAACCTCTAAAAATCGTCACAAATTTCCTTAACGAGTTAAAATTAATCCTAAACCCCCTCCTAGCTGCTCGAACAACCCTAATAAACAAAACTCCACTCCTCATCACTTCCACTCCTTAATTAATTAACGCACGTATCACATATCTTCTGATCATCCATACCAAACATAAAAATAAATTCTAAATTGTATTAATAAACTTATAATAACATGTAATATGTTGACACACTTTAAATATAATGAACAAAAAAAAAAAATTTATAGCTGTAAAAAATTGCTCTTCTAATTTTCTTAGTATTCCATTATTCCATAGTACATATGGAGTTAATTTTATAAAGTGGCCTACTTTTCACTACAAAAATTAATTAATTAATTAATTAATTATTATACTAATACCCATAAAGTATGACATATTATATTATATATATATATTATTTGAATTAGTGTGTCTATGTGAAGACATAAATGTTATATTAATATTTATTCCTTTTTTTATAACTACAATCACCTCAAGTTGTAACACTACAACCGATGGGTCCTGAAAGTACATATACTTACTGTTATTCATGCAACAATAAAATTCATACAACTACTTCAATAAATTATAAATCTATTGCTTGGTTGAGTAGTCTTCTGATGTGTGTGGTTGGGTAAGTATTAAAACAAAACTTTTAAATTTCATTGTTATAAGTTATAATAAATTTGATCTAAGGAAAATAATTTAATTTATACAGTGTAATCACGTTTTCAGGTAACACCCAATATTTTGACTGGATGGTCATTTTGTTTTAAAATATATTACAATAGTTAATTAAGTGGCCTGGTGTGGCGCGGTGGTTGGCCACAACAACCCACTTATGTGCTTTGAAATCAAGCATCGCCGGCATCATTAATCTGGGATGGGTGAACCCAGTTCGTAAGCTCCGTACATACTTGTAACATTTGCAGTAACGTAACGTAGACACCATTCGTAACTCAACCTAGCTTACATTTTCGACGCGATTCGAATTTTCCGACAACTATTGGAACGCGATGAACTTCATTGCGCATCAACTTTGTTACACGATATTACGCCTTTCGATCGCATCTGTACTGATAGGTACACGTCTACGTTACGTTACCGTCACCAACAGTATGTGTACACAACTTTAGTGACGAATCCATGATACACACATACGCAGATTGGTCAACCTAAACAAATCCGACACAAAATCTATGTTCCTATCTAGTTGATGGCCTTAGTTGTCGGGTTCTTAAAATAAGATAAATAAAAATAAAAATAAAATTTTTGTTTAAGTTAATTTATATTATAAAACATATTTTATTTTGGCTATGCAATATTTATGAGCACTTAAAATAGTTATGTTATTCATTTATTATTTGATGACAGCAATAATCTATAAAGTAACTTAATGTTGTATTTTGTGATTCGTGATCATAATAGGTACTAGTTAGTAGGTGATTACATCTAGATCATATAAGATACAAAGGCTGTATATGAATGATGGGGAGAGTTTTAGAGTTCAACCTCCACATATATCTTTTATAGTTAATAAATATAATTTATGTAGTAACAATTATAATAATTTACCTTGTGGCCGTGGACCAAATAATATAATAACAATTGTTTGATTATCGATATTATTCATTTTTGTTTGTTTAAAATAAGTGTTAGTTGTTTTCGAAAATATTATTTGATTTAACTCTCTGAAACTGATGAAAATATTCTAAAAATAAACAGTTTGCATATGACTGTAAACAGTAATGGATTTAATAAATTGCAGCCACTATAAGAAATAAATAAATATTATATATATAAATGGTAATCTTACTTATAAACTTATGTTGTATCATAGTAGCTCTTTGTGGTTGCCAAATAAATAATATATTTTACTTCTATCTGATGATCAATTATTGTTAATTTCATTAGGTATTTCTTAGATTTCACAACTATTCAACCAGGTCATCTAGTCAAAATATTAGTGGTTACTTAAAACCATTGTGATCACACTGTAAACATGTATTGTTTTATAATTATTTAATATTTTACAAATTAAATTTTTTTTAAATAGGAAATATTTATTTATGATGTACAATTATATATATTTTAGATGTATTTGGATGCTGTCTTATACCTTTCATAGACTCTTGCCAAATATCAACATAGATGCCCAGAATGTGATGCTTTTGGGCTACAAACCATAAACTAAATACAACAATACTGTTTAAATCATAAATTGTTTCCTTTATTATTATTATTTATCAAACGACAATTGAATAAAGTGTTTTAAATTTTATGTAATAGTATTTCTATAAAAATAAATAAAATACGTTTTATTTTACACTCAAGCATACATGATAATATATTTTAAAATAAGGTACTATGTTATTAATTTTTTGCTTATTATGTACAATAAATCTTCTAATTAAACAGAATATTTTTCGATTGGGGCTTTATTATTTTAGCTGCCCAGAAGTCTTTAAACATGTTTAACAATTATACATATTTTACATAGTTATAACTTATAAGTGTTAAGGCACTAAATAAAATTATATATACTTTACACGTTGATGGAATCACTTCCAACGAGATGGCTTAGAATACTATACAACAAAACTGACTTAATAGTTTATTATTAATGTTTACAGAACCAAAATAACCTACATCTAGCATTAATAAATAAGAAAATAAAAGAAATATAAGAAAATATAAGAAATAAAATAATTCATTTATAATGCTTTAATCAAAATTATTACAATAATTAAATTTATATTTTATTATATTATGTATATACAACTTTTTGTTCAATAAACCAAGTTTTTTAAATTTTGGGTATTTTTTTTTTTTTTATACATAATTATATTTATATCATTTTATTTTTAACTTCTAAAATATATGTCTAGAAATTAGCACAATAATGTTGTGTCTACATTTAATTGGATTTTATTTACACAGTTTTTTAATTTACAATTTGAATCTACATCAATGTGCTGAAAAAAGATTATAGGGACACTGTTCAAGTACTAAAATATATTAATTAATCCAGGTTCGACCGGAAATTGAAATCTGCGCATGGCTATATGTATGATTTCAGAAGCTTAAGACTCTGATGTCATTGGTTCAGCGTATTCAAACTGCATCCTTAAATGATATTTTGTTTTATAGTTACATCCGTGGTTTTTGTTACGACACATCCGAGTAGCATCCATGGTTTTTTCAACGACTGAATATAATGGTTGTTGATTAACTCGTATATAATCTTGATTATTGATACCTTATCTATAAATTCCATCAACAATTTATAGTTGGAAATTAATTTTGTTGTAAAATAATAATAATAATAAAAAGAAATTGTGCATTGTGTATGTCAAAAATTCTTAGATGTCTATAAAAATAGTTAAAATGGTATCTTGTATGTGTATTGTTATATATTGTTATATTATGCATAGAAAATGATCATATATACATCTAGTGAAAATTTCAATTATTTCGTTAAATTTAAGTTATACTAAGAAAAACAAAATCAATTTTGTCAAAAACTAGAATTGCGTAAAATTCACATTTTTTTACAATTTCTTCTTCATTTTTTCCCGATTGTTTTTCAGAATAATGTAATTTTTCATTTTGACTTCTCTAAAGTACCATATTTAACACAGATCCAATTTATCATTTGAAACCACTTTCATAATTAAAAATCAGTTATGCATTTTTCGATTACTTATCACGAATTTAAGTAAAAAACACACAATATCATTAAATAAATTAAATAACTATGCTCATTTTTCTACTAAGAATCTATAACAAATAAATAAAAATAATGCAATATATTATAGTAAAATACGTATGCGATCACTTATCAATCATCTCAGTGGCGCCGAGTCTTATGCATTTAAGTGAAACAAAATCAAAATATTTTGGTAAATGGATTAGGAAATAATATGTTGTCTACCTCTAATAACTAATAACTTTAGTTATTTATTTAATTATTTTGTATAGATATATTGTAATGTAAAAACAAAAACACTCGTACAAATAAAACCACCCATCCTCTTTATTATTTGAAGCCATCGCTTCAGTTCATGTATAGGTTTGGCGTCACTGAATCATCTAATTATCATTTTGTGACTAACGCACTCAAATACGATCCGTTACTCATTCTATATTGACATAGTTATTCCGCGTTCAGTAACCACGCGTTTAAGTACCTATATAATACTTTATTTTTTGATAATAAATCATAATATTGTTAAAATAATACAGCTAGTACATACTACATTTACTTATTTCACATTTATTAAATTTATTTATTTAATCTGTTTTTAACACGGTAATCGCAGATAATTATGTATCCGGAATTAACAGTTCCAGCTCATCAAAATGTTCAATGTAAGTAAAAACCAAGCTTGGCTAACTTGTTATTAATGTAATAATTTTTTTTTCGTGTTTATTATTTTATATACCTATTGGCTATTTATATAACTTTATAAAAATTGAAAAAACAATAATATGTTTTATGTTTAAATTATCTAAGTATTAAGGACCTTCCTCGGCGTATTCCAGGTCTTAGTGGTTTTACTTGATGGTATAAGCTACGTTTTGTTCGGCTCTTTTACAAATCATAAATATATTTGTTCACATATCATGGTATTTTTCTAAGCGCTTAAGTCCGATGGTCTCCATCATAGTATGTATTCCTGTTGTTATAGAAAACTTTCAAGGTTCTTATGTTTTAAAAACCAAATATAAAAATACACTACCTCCCTAAAAAGTAACAATAATCAACAGTGGCGCGACGTGGAGTCGTCGGTAATGTAAGTAATCACTAACAATTGTTCCTACCTTTTTTGTACAACGCATGAGTCTATAATGTGCAAAAGCTAATTAAAATATTATTCTATGCTTACAAATGATAAAATTAACATCTTCATCATGAAATAAATATCGTTATAAAATTCTTTATATATATATATATATATATATATATTATAAAAATAAAAATCTTTCCTCAAAAAGAACTTTTATAATTCATTTTTTATAAAATTGAGGAATAGGGAAAAATGTGAGTATTTCGGTATCGTATCGAATAGATAAATATAAGTAGATATAGATTAAACTTAATACGATTTTATATTAATTATTTATAATTAAGTAAACAATTTAAAAACAAATTATAATAATTTTTAGACAATTCTACCCTGTTTAAATTACATGAAATATTATATTTATTTAAACATTTTCTGCAAGTGAATGTATTGTTTAAGTTATAACTTATAACTTTAGAACAGAATCATATAAGAATAGATTAACTTTTATTTATTTGTGATTGTTTAGGTGTTCAAACCCCTGCATATCAAGCACCATTCGGCCCTACTAGTGTCCAAACTACATGCTCTTCATGCGGACAGTTAGTATTTACCAATACTTCTAGAAAAGCAAAAGCTGCTGCTTGGTGGAGTTGTATGCTATTATTTATCAGTGGGTGAGTATTAAATCAAATCAAAACTAAACAATTATTATTTTAATGTATCGATTTTTCAATCGATAATTATATGTGAATGGAATTATTATCAAGTATTTTATTATTCTTGCAGAATACAAACATTTTTTATTGTTTAAGCGAATAGTATTTTATTTTATGTATGTACGTATAATTATATTATATTTTTTTAGATTTTTTTGTGGATGCTGTTTAATTCCTTGCTGCATGGACTCGTGTAATATTGTCGACCACACGTGCCCAAAGTGTAACGCATATTTAGGACAGTACAGACCATAAACTATAGATATACTTAACGTAATAAAATAATGTGAAGTTCGAAGTGTTTTCTAAAATAAATAAATATTAATTTTAACGTTATAATAATAATACAATAAAATATAATATAATATAAAGCCATCAGTTTTTATAAGTAGAACCAATTTTATAAAAAAGCTACTAAAATTAAAACGTTCTTTTTAAAATATTATTTTTAAAATAAATGAGCAGTAGGTATGCAAATAATTTTTTTATGCTTATAAATACGTAGTTACCTATATTTAATGAAGAGTTTAAATTATTGCACATAGCTTTGAACCGCCGTAAAAAAATGTCAACTGATAAAAAAATATATCAATGTAGTAGATACGTACCTATTATTATTTATTTATTTATGTATATATATTTAAATAGTAATTGCTACTTATCTTTTATCTTGGTTTTCATATTCCAAGGTGAGCGGTTTGTATTTGATTAAACTCACACTTTGAGAAAAATTAGTAGAGCTAGTATAGGTATCTATATAATTATAATATATTACATTACATTCGCTCGTTTTGTCTGTATAGACTTGACTATAAACAATACACATATGGCTATAGTTAAACAAATAATTTGCAAAAAAATCTCTCCGACAACTCCCAAATCCAAATAAAATCTCATAGAACGAATTGAATTTCTAGTTATTTTAGGTATATCCTAATATCGAATTCCGAATAATTTAAAATATATAATTAAGGATTAATTCCAAAAAGTCAATCCAAAAACGTAGTACAACCATTTTCCAAATTCTAATTTTTGTACTCTATAGTTAGTCCTAATATTTTTATTTTTCTTCGCAGGCTTGATTTTTAACTAAAAAAAAATATATATTTTAATCAATATGGAATTCGGGATTTTTTTTAATTGTAGCTTGAAGAATTTAGACTCTTTCAAGCTACTTTAAGTCTATATTATAGAGTATAGACCAATGGTTCCCAAACTTTTTTCCATCGTGGCACATTATTATTATTTATTATAAATCATGACACACTGGATTAATATTAAATATTATTTACTTTCCAATTATAAGTTGTTTATATATATATATATATATATATATATATATATATATAAAGTCCAAGTTGTCGCGACACACTCTTTGAGAAACACTGCTATAGCTTAGACAATTGATACTTGCGATTTTTTACATTTTATAATACGGAAATCTAAGTATTATACGATTTACATGATTTTTAATTGTTAATAATTGTTTTTTTAACCTACCAGTGTTAATACAAATAAATATTTAAATATCCTTAGATGTATATACTATGTAGTATGTACATATTACATAGTTCATAGTATGACAAACCCAGTGGCGTACCCAGGATTTTAGTACTGTGGGACTGCCTTATTTACAAAAGGTCACTGAATAGAAACTTTAACCAACTAGTATTACAAAGTAGCTCGCGATTATCCTTATTAATTAGGTATTTTCATCACATTTTTATACCAACATTTAATATAACTTTATAAAAATTTTAACTTTTTTATAAACTTAAGGTATTATTAATTAATTGTTGCATTAAAATTTATATTCAATTAATACATTTATCTGGAGTATTTAAATAATTTTAAGAATAAAGGATTATACATATTTACTGTTTTATTTGTATACATTTATTTGAGGTGTATTTATTTTGATTTAGTTTTCAATAACTGCTTTCAATTTTTACAATAGATATGTGATCTAGAGAAGTTGGTTCTAGATTCTAATCCAATACAAAAAATAATGCATTAATTCTGAGCGAAGACGATTTGTCAGTCTAGGATATTTTATACTATATTTATAATATTTTTATTAAAACGGTAGCCGGTTGGTTGAATTAATATAATTTGCATATCATCATATTTGTATATAATAATATACTTAAGAGTTAAGAAATTTCAAGTACTATTATGCAATATTTTATATTTATATAAGCAACAGTATTGGTTATGTTTTGTAAATACCTGTATTGCCGTATCACAGCATTCACAATTCACAGTCACATGTATTGTGTTTTCATTATTTAAGTTGATTTCGTACGCATTATTTATACTTCAATATTCAGTCTTCACGTCTATAATACACCATAGTTTATAATATACATATACATTGCCTATATGTTTACTATTTCTATACTTTTTTTTTTTATTTATTTATTTAGCCATTAGCACAAAACTATTACGGCTCAACAATTAATGTACATAAACAAATTTAGACAATACAGATAATATACATGTGCATAATATGAACAATGCATTAGCATAGTAAAATAGAGTGTATATATAGTTATATGGATAAGATAATGATAAATAAGGTTATAAAGTATTAAGTAGTAAGATAAGATAATAATAATAAATTAATTTATAATACGGAAAGAAAAATGAAATGATGTACGAGTATGACGTGGCGCTGGTGTGACTAAGATAAATTAATTTTGTTTAGAACAGTGGAAAGAAGGGATATAAGTGGATTAATGATTGAATTGAAATTCAGGAAGAATTTTAATAACAATGTTTCGATTGCAGAAATGTTATTATTGCTATTTTCGGAACCAGATAAGGCATGAGCATAAGATTTGGGCTCAGAGCCAGGATTAGGGCTTGAATTTATATTTGAAGGATATGAGGTTTTAGGTTTTTGTGGCATGCGATGAAAACTGAATTGATATTTGCGGAGAGATTTAAATGATGGATATCCTTTGAAATTCGCCGTATGATCGCCTTTTTCTATACTTAAACATCATAATTAAATTTTTATAGGAACATTCTTAAGCCTGTGTACATTAAAAAAATTATTATTATTTAACTTAATTTTTATATTGATTATTATATATATTTTTTTCAAATAAAAAAAAAATATTATGTAGTTTGTCATTTTGAAGGGCTACATTAACCTCAGAAAAAAACTGTGGGTTAACTGACCTCCCAAATCCTCCCCCCCCCTGGACAAACCGTCTCCGCTTAAAATAGTTTTTTATAAGTAGGCATATCTACAATGACAACGTTAAATTCGATTTTTCCATCATCATTATCTACAGTGTCTAATGAAAATGTGCCAAACTGATAGGCTTAATAATACGTATACTAACAGTAATGAAACTTCCACGGTTTTTACAAATTTGAATTTTGAGTTTTAATTTATTGCAATATATAATTATTTATTTAAATTACAAATGGCATCTTAATAAATTAAAATTTTTGTTATTTGATAATCGTATTTCTTTTTATCCAATACTAATTCTGATAATAATACATTTATATGAACTTCTTAGGAATCGATCGTAACTCGTAAGTCAACTATTATTAATAGTATAAATATATTAATTTCAATTTTTGAAACAAATATTTTAGCAAAATTTATTAGTCATCAAAACAAATTTATTTGATGATTTAGGTACCTATTCAAGTACCTTATCTATTCGGCTATATAAAAATAGGTATTAGGTTTTTATTGCGATATTATAAATAATGTGTGATGCATTGACATGCATCTACTACCTATCTATTATCGCTGAAAGAGAATTACTGATTACTTGAATAATTTTAATTGTTTTATTAGTCATCAATGATGTTGATTAAGTAATTATTAAGATTTCGACCAAAGGATTCTTTAAAAGTAATTTAATAGAATTATCATTGACATTCAGAGCGATTAGAAAATGCATATACAAATTATTATTTTACAATACACGAAGAAAGTGTATTAATATACATAGAAATAGTAATAACCTACTATAGTGATTGATCCGTGGTAAAATAATATTTGAAATGTCACCACGGCACACTTATAATGATAATAATAATCGTTATTTTAAATTATCTGTAAAAAAAATAATAATAATGGTAATAATGATTATAACAATAATCTTTAATTTGTATTGTAGTTCGACGTCTGTCGCGTGGTATCCAACATGCAATTTTATTCATAAACGATAATTGTCTCGTTTTTTTCAATCTCGTGCAAGTGTGTATTATTAGTATCAATACCTGCGTGTTTGGACACAATTTTTTCCTAAACTAATGTGAATATATTTTGAAACGGTAAGTAGGTGTAGTTTTACAGTCGTATGTATGTTACGGGTAATGTTAACATTAACCGAGTAATATTACATTGGCCAAGAGCTTTTGGATAATGTCTTAACAACCATAAAAATGTATCATACATGAGATGCATTAATTTAAATTATTAACAATATTAATTATATTTAAGACAACAACCATAAAATATATAATATTAATTATAATATGAGTTTAATATAATTTTAATTTTTAACAACGTAACCCACTAATGATATACATAATGTGTTATCCTTTATTATTGCACGGCATGCTTCCGTGACATTTTGAATTGCACAAAATGCTAGATGCTTTACATTTACATCGATTGGTGTCACATTTCCCCTTACATGAACACCTTTTATATCCTTGACCACCACCATCTGACATTTGACTCGCAATTTCCCTCAATGATTTTTCTACATGTACCACCTCATCAAGCGGTATTAAAGCCAACGGACAAACACTAAACTGATTTCTGGTGTATGTATACTTGTGGCAAAGTACCATATTTATTGCCAAGTTTATAATATTGCCCATCCTCAATAGACACAACTGCAAATATAATATTTCTCAGGTCTGATCGTCCTCTGTCGACATCCGGTAAAGAGACTCTCGCACATATATATATTGTTCACTTTATCGGTAAGATAAAGTACTGCTGCACTATATTATAGCAGATATACCTACGATTAGCTTTAAACTCGTAATTCAAATAATCTACAGATAGACGGATCTAAATGTGCAATCGATAAAATATAAAATTATTATACGTGTAGATTACACTTGGCCTCACTTGGTATAAAGAAATAGAATTCAGTTTTCACTTTTAACATTAAGTATCCAATGTTGACTGGCTAATGTCGACATTATCCAAATGTTAACATTACCCGTAACATATACATCACTTGTACATCGTTAACGCTGCAATTTTATATTATTACATTACGTATACCTATTCACATCCCTGAAGCCGTCACATAATATCGTATCGTTCGAACAGAAATAATGGACGACGTCGACTTTACCAACAGCGGGCGGCGCTCAAAATTTTTCGAAACCGACGACGACGACGACGACGCACACCGGTCACCGCCGACGATAGCGGACACGCTGGATTTGGCGGTGTGCCGACCGGCGTCTCCGGGGCGCGTCTCGCGCCCGCTGGAACGGTTGAGCGGACGATGGACGTTTCGGTCGATGCCGCAGGACGTGAACTTGACGGCGTACGGCAAACAGTTTTCCGGCGAGTGGCCGTCGTTTCTCGCGGAAACACTGGAAACGGTGTGCGACGACGACGACGACGACGCCACCACAACACCGCCGTCGGCCGAGGACTTCGCCGTCTTCCCGTCGGCGGCGCAGACGCGGAAGCTGGGCGGAAGCGGCGCCGGTGCCAAGGGTTCGACGGCGGCCCCGAAACGCCCGAACACGTTCGTCAGACAGTGCGTCGCCTACGCCGGACGCGTCTTCACTTGGCACTTCTACCGGACCGTGTGCAGGTACTTCCTACCGATCGCCACGTTCCGAAACCGCAGGTGATGGACGTGCGCGACGCGACGGTCGAGACCGCGTAGGCACGGGCGGGCAATAACGGCGCGGTCGGACGAGCTGTGCGGTACATACGTCCGCGCGGACGGTCAACACACTCGTCGTCAGTCGTCGTACGACGACGATAAAATCGCCCGTACCTACCGACTACCGTTGGGGGGGGGGGGGGGGGGCGTCGAGTGTAATATTGATGATACGCATTGTGTTCAGATTTTCAAATCGTGTTTCACGCGCGACACTCGTGCGTAGTCTGCTTTGACAAGGGGCGGATAGGCCCATCGGGAAATCGGGATTTTCCCGGCGGACCCCTGTCCGCACCTGCAAATTACGGGGCCTCCAGTCTCAAAACGGTATTTTATGTTTTAAATGTTATCAACGATATAATAATAATAATATCGAACTCTCTACAT